GGACCCATAATGTCCAATGTATGTACAGATTTTGAACATAATTTGTCCATAGATGACCAGCATCCAGTTCCGAAAATGCATGATTTTGATAATTTCTGCATAAAAAATGGCCGCCATTCTACGGATCATGAAACAAATGGACATGCACACATCACCCAAGATATACAAAATGTATAATGTATCATACTCGACTGCGTTAGCGCCCAGGGGCCTCAACTCAGAAAATCACGATTTTTTTAGGGGTGGGCGCTTACCCGAGCACCCCCCTCGAAAAAATTGCAAATGAAAATTTAGATTCATCATGTGGCAGATTACGTCTTTGAGGGAAAATCAAATTACAAAATTAGTTGTGTCGTCATTGATTTTCACAATGAAGAAACAGAAATGATCACAAAAAATATGCACATTTTATTACAATATTAATTACGTACCACCAGAATTTACGAAATTAAAAACATTAGAGTCTGTTGGAACACAGTCGAAGTCAAAATTTTCATATTATCTCCACTGACGAAGGTGTTGGATCGTACGCAAACTCTCATGAAAATCACTTTCCGCCATGATGCATTTGCAGATTTTACCTGCAGCAGTGTCCTTTGACCTAATGAGTCAAGTTGGTTATTACCCAATTAGAATTCTGTGTGGTACCGACGCAATTCTTCGAAATTTCCCGAAGACTTTCCGGTAACGCAATGCGGATACTGGAATTGATTTCAGCGAATGAACGACATGGTTTTTCCAAAAAACTAGTAACTAGCCATTTTTGAGAGGTAAACTGAATATGGCATGAAATATTTACCGCATTTCTTGTATTAACAAGTCATTGTCGAAGCGAAGTTTACGCACGATTACGGTGGTCTACGCATTCACAACATGTTCACAGCTGTCGATATCCATGCTGTATCATATAAAAACGATTACCAATATTCGTTACGCAAGACCAAATTTTAAATTAGTTGCATTTTGAAGGGGTGGGCGCTTCGCGGAATGTGACCCCAAATATAAAAATTGTGCAAAAGTGGGGGATGGGCGCTTGCCCGGGCATGGGCGCTAACGCGGTCGAGTACGGTATTTGTGAAGTTTGAATGTGATCAGATGTCTAAGATACAGGTGGTGATGCACACAGACGAACGCATGCATATACACACGCACGCACGCACGCACAGGACAAAACACAAGTGCCTGTTTAATTAGTCATTGTCAAATGCAGGTCTAAATGGGGTCTAATAAAACCCAGTGAGATATATCCAATGCAACTAATAAAAGCACCAGGGATTTTTTTTAAACAAGGGAACAGGGGCGCAGTGCCCTTATGCCATAGCCATGCAATTCTGATTGACCAGGCAGGGATCACATGTGGCCACAGTCTTCAACTGTTACCTGTTTGATAGTAATTTTGGCCCCAAGGAAGCCATAGAATGCTCCATTTTAACTGGTAGGTAGAACCCCATCTCCCCCACTTGGTGGCACCGCTGAATTGCAGTGCTCCCTCTTGCAGTTTTTTTCTAGAAAAACCCCTGTTACCTAATCAAATGTGTTTATACAACGATTACACGAGACATCAACACCAGCTGTGGTATTTATACAATATAGCACACCACATCCAGTGTTCCCATAGCAACATTTATCAAACAGTACACAAATCTTACCCTTGTGATGAGGGAATTGTGATGATTCTCTTGCCACCAACTTTCATACCTATACACACAACAGAAAAAACATACAAATTAGTGTCCTATATTGATCCCAGCACTTGATGCAGTTTATTATACCCGGTAGTTGGACAAGGTTTGTACAAAAATTTACAGTATGCTCCATGGCAACACTGGATAATTTTATGCATTTATATAAAATAAATGAACTACGTTATTGAATGTGTATATTACAAACATTGTGCCTTGACAATGATATTTGTATAATGTATCATTTTGTATTAACAGGCTGTATTTTAAAAGGAATTTCTAAATGAGTCCTCTACTGTGTTAGCATTTACACAAAATCAATTGTCAATGCGAGATTGGATTGGGTGTATAACTATAGACCCACATGCATAGTAACATTAAACATACCTTGTACCCCTAGATCCCATCCTTTGATCACTTCACCTTTGCCAAGTCGAAAATTGAATGGTTTACCAGAAAGACACGAGTCAAACTGTTTATTATTTTTACTTAATTTACCTGTGTAGTACAGAGCCACCTATAGAAATAAGTAAATATTAATGTGATATTTCAATGGTTTAGGCAGCGCCAGTGTGTTACATTTGTGTAAAATCTAATTGACTAGTGGCCCAGTAAGTTAAATTAAAATCTGGCCCTGAAAGAGACATAAGAAGCCTCTTGATTCAACACTTCACAAATAATCTAAAAGTCAATTTGATACACAAAATGGTGATGTTGAGATTGAATCTAGTTTTTTAAAGTTGGTAATTATATTTATATTCCAAGTCGACAGGGTTCAGTTTACTGCATACAACCATATTACCAGCTTTTTTAATCCTTAGACAACCACCACCAAAACATACCTTTGAGCAACGCATGCATAAATTTTGTATAATGTGTGATAACTACTTTAAACACAGGAAGAACATAAAATACTAGTACAACCAGCTACCTCACAAACAAAAATAAACTAATTCCCATTGGGCGATGGGAAGTATAGTTTAGCATGTTCGCCTCACACCGAAGTGATTTTGGATTTGATTCCTGGAGCTGAATATTCACTCAGCAGATTAAATTCAAATACAGTTTTAGTCCCTGCCATCAAAACGTGCAGTATTAGGGTTGTTAGACTGGTTTACAGATGTAAACGTGCAATTAGCACCAAAGACGAATATTTACATATCAGGAAATGTTGCAAGGCAAAAATCTTAAAAAAAATAAAAATAATTCCATTTAAAAGTTTGTTTGTTGTGATTTTTTTCTTTACATTGATTACATTACAATAATAAAAAGTTATGTAGTTCACTATAGATTATTATTAATATTGTACATATAATGAACCAAAATTCTACCAAAAAAATGTATATTCTTATTTAAGATGAAGTTCAGCTATTTTTAGTTTCAACCTCCATAGCGTTTCATAAATACTCACCATCTTTCCAAGCTTGGCTATTTTACCACTTCCTTGTTTTAAGTCTTTTATAACAGTGCCACCTTTAAGTTTCTTTTGAAGAAGTTTCTGCAGAAAGTAAAATAATATACAACTGCCTTATGATCTAAATTGGGATGCAATGCACTACAGAGGAGCCTCTATAATAGGATGTAGAGACTGAGTCAAAATGAAATCTCTAAAATCAAGTTGAGTCAGCTTGGTGTCTGCTGGGAAGAGAGGTTTGTCATAAAAAAAAAAAAAAAAAGATTGTATATGGCCTAAAACCAAAACTGTTTTGTTTATTTTCGTATTTTGTATTTTGTTTACCTAATTAGATTTTTTCCAAGATTACTATATGGATGCATAATTTGCTGTTGAACCGCTGGTGTGAGATGGAACAAGTGTAACCAGGGGCAACAGTGACGAATCATGCAAGTTTTGAAGGCTCTACAGGATATCACATTTGATACTGCAATTAGCCTTTCAGTTTTCTGTTTTTCATCTTTCTCACCCGCTCCCACTTGACATTATCTGTACATAGTGAAAACTCATACCTGGGTTTTGCTGATCTCTTTTGGAGGTGTGTCAATGGACTCTGCATCACCAGATGTCATATCAGCCTGCTTCTGTAAAATAATCACTATCATATTTTAAAATATATTGAGCCAAAAAATAAAAACGGTTCTAGTTGTTATTTCCTGACTTGCAGTGCAAACAGACCAGAACTACAAGGTAGCTTTGTGCAAAACGCATCTCAGATATAATGTCTAAAATAATATCATCAGACATATAAAAAAACCAAAAAAATAGCCGAAAAGAAAAAATAGAAGGTACAATATATTTTGTGAAAAAGAATTGATTTGTAGTGAACAAAGTTTAGCTATTTATTACGTACATTTTTGGCCCTGGCTTTCTTTCTTGGTCGAGACTTTTTCTTTTTTTCTTCAGAGCTGACAACCTGAGATAGAAAGATGGTCTAAAATCAGTATTGATTTATTTCAGTTAAGAACATAGATTATTGAGAATCTAAACTTAAACAATATGTTTTTGGATAACTAGATCTATATGGTCAAATATGACAGAAAAATAAATATGATATCATTTGCAAATGGAAACTGTTGAATGAGAAAACTTGTTAGCTTACCATTTGATCACTTTTTTCAGTACTTGTATTTTCTAAAAATTAAACAATACAATATTATGTTATTAGTGATTACTATGAGGAAATGAATGGCAAATGTTATTTGACCTGATGATACACTGTCAATGTTCAGAATTGGGTAAAGATTGTTCTGAATGATTTAGTTATCACCAACTCACATCTATAATTTATTATTTTAAACAGGTTTGTCTTGGAAAAGCACATCCCAAGAGAACAATTATTGGTATTCATTGTTGAGTAATGTCCAGATTCATAAATCAATAAATCAAACTGTTTGTTGCGTTACCTTCGTCATCACTTTCATCTTCATCTGCATCCTCCTCCTTATCATCATCATCATCATCATCGTCATCAGAGTCTTCATCAGTTCTATCATCTAACTCATAGTCATCTTCATCTTCATCATCACTTGTGTCATCTTCCTTATTTTTGGCAACTTTTTTCTTCTTTTTTTTATCACCTACAGGGCTATAGTCTTCATCACTCAAATCATCACTTTCATCACTTGTATCATCGCTTTCTTCAACTTCTTTTGATTTATTATTAGGAATATAGTCTTCATCATCTTCATCATCATCATCATCATCATCTTCATCACTCCCAGAGATCTTTTTTCTCTTTGGTTTCTGATCTTCATCATTTGCTGATTGCTTCTTTTTGTTTCGTTTCTTGCCTTGGAGTTAATGAAATAATAATACCCATCATTATCCATTGTTATTTAGCAATTTACAATGCTAAATGTAAAGAAACTAAATAACTGTATGTCATTAACAACTCTTAATTTACAGAAAGACAGATAGAAAGGCAGGTAAAGAGAGACAGGGACAGAGAGATGGAAAGAGAGAGACAGTGACAGAGAGATGGAAAGAGAGAGACAGGGACAGAGAGATGGAAAGAGAGGGACAGACAGATGGAAAGAGAGAGACAGAGAGATGGAAAGAGAGAGACAGGGACAGAGATGGAAAGAGAGAGACAGGGACAGAGATGGAAAGACAGAGACAGGGACAGAGATGGAAAGACAGAGACAGGGACAGAGATGGAAAGACAGAGACAGGGACAGAGAGATGGAAAGAGAGGGACAGAGAGATGGAAAGAGAGGGACAGGGAGATGGAAAGAGAGAGACAGAGAGATGGAAAAAGAGGGACGAGGACAGAGAGATAGTAAGAGAGAGAGAGATGGAAAGAGAGAGACAGGGACAGAGATGGAAAGACAGAGACAGGGACAGCGAGATGGAAAGGGAGAGACAGGGACAGAGAGATGGAAAGACAGAGACAGAGAGATGGAAAGACAGAGACAGGGACAGAGAGATGGAAAGAGAAAGACAGGGATAGAGAGACGGAAAGAGAGACAGGGACAGAGAGATGGAAAGCGAGGGACAGAGAGATGGAAAGAGAGGGACAGAGAGATGGAAAGAGAGAGACAGAGAGATGGAAAGAGAGAGACGAGGACAGAGAGATAGTAAGAGAGAGAGAGATGGAAAGAGAGACAGGGACAGAGATGGAAAGGGAGAGACAGGGACAGAGAGATGGAAAGACAGACAGGGACAGAGAGATGGAAAGAGAAAGACAGGGATAGAGAGACGGAAAGAGAGACAGGGACAGAGAGATGGAAAGAAAGGGACAGAGAGATGGAAAAAGAGGGACGAGGACAGAGAGATAGTAAGAGAGAGAGACAGGGGAGAGAGAGATGGAAAGAGATACAGAAACAGAGATGGAAAGACAGAGACAGGGACAGAGAGATGGAAAGAGAGACAGGGACAGAGAGATGGAAAGAGAGAGACAGGGACAGAGAGATGGAAAGAGAGAGACAGGGACAGAGAGATGGAAAGAGAGAGACAGGGACAGAGAGATGGAAAGAGAGAGACAGGGACAGAGAGATGGAAAGAGAGAGACAGGGACAGAGAGATGGAAAGAGAGAGACAGGGACAGAGAGATGGAAAGAGAGAGACAGGGACAGAGAGATGGAAAGAGAGAGACAGGGACAGAGAAATGGAAAGAGAGAGACAGGGACAGAGAGATGGAAAGAGAGACGGACAGAGAGATGGAAAGAGAGAGACAGGGACAGAGAGATGGTAAGAGAGAGACAGGGACAGAGAGATGGAAAGAGAGACAGGGACAGAGAGATGGTAAGAGAGAGACGGGGACATAGAGATGAAAAGAGAGAGACAGAGAGAGACACAGAGACTGAGTGACAGTGACAGTGACAGACATCTGTTCAATAAACAACATCTCTTTTGTTGGTGGTCATCATGTTTTACACTGGACAATTTGTTTTGCTATTTCCAAGGTGATATTTTGTCAATCTCATCTTACGTTTCCCTGGTTTCCACTCCTCTTCTTCACTTTCTTCATCCTCCTCTAAATTACCATTTATACCATTTACTGTCAGTGCAAGTTGTTGAAGAGTTGGCACTTCTGTGAACCAATCATATTAAACGAACATCTTCAGTTAAAGTTTATAAACGTAGATCATACAAACAAAATTAAAGTAATACCATATTTATCCTGGTAAGAGCCCAGGGTTCTGAACATGGAAAATTGCCAAAAAATAGGGGTGCGAGTTTGTCCGGAAATCCCTGGCAAAAAGAAACGTAAATTGCAAAAACACACAGATCAAACTGCGACAGGGAATAGAACAGTAAATAAAAACATGCAAGAGAAATAAATGAACAATATGCAACATTAGAAGTAAAACAAAAATAATGTATTGCTTATAATGTGACAAATAAACCAGAAATAATAAAAATCAACAGTGTAATACATGTAAACTCAAAATGAACTAAAATGTCACAGGTTAAACTGTGTAAAATTATTTCCGGTTTTGACAAATACTGGATCAACAGTCATACACGAAAACAAATAATTTACAAATTTACACAGTGAAAATTACGAAAGTTCATAGTTTCAAAAAAAAATCTCAGATCTCTAATTTGTAGTACGTTCATGGCCATCTTCGTCAAAATCAAAACCCTCAAAGTCCAAGTCGGCGTCATTCTCGGCGTCAAACAAGATCCCTACAGCTTCGTCCTAAAGTTTGTCGCTGTCATCGCACACAATTTTGACTTAGCACTTTTAATCCACGGATTTCGTTGTCGTTACACTTTTAATTCATGTCTAATAACAATAAAGAGACTAAAAAATTGGGCTCGCGAAGAACGACTCTGCTGCAATGGCGTACAATGATTTTATTTACAGTTTGTCAATCATCTTTGACCTTTAAACATCTGCTTCTGATTGGCTAAGAATGACATCACTACTAGTGTTTCATCATAGAGGTCAACATTGCTTTTTTTTCAGACTGTATGCTCATCAATCGGGTGAAAGTTATCATTCAGCAAGTTCTGGCTATTGAAGATTTTTTTCCAACGACAGAGAAAAAGAAAAGCAATAGCTGTGATGAAAGATGGTAAAAAAAAAGTCTTCGGCGTAACATTGCAAAATTGCTGGCCCCAGTTATGGATTCGCAAGCTGCTACAAAATATTTTATAAAGCCAAAACAACGTGCTTTCAACCACTCTCCAAGGTACGGGTTGCTACAATATTACAACACTGGTTTCATTGTTGACTACGCTAAAGCCGAACGAGTGCGACACTTGCTTCACGGCTCTCCATATACTATAAGATTTGCTTGAATTGTTTCTATAATTACACACAAACCAAATGACCTTTTTCAGGGCCACGACATATTTCAAAAAGAGAACCACCGTTTCCGCTTTAATATACATTTTTGTTGACTTGCTGGCTGTTATGTTTCTGATAATAAATCTTAAAAAAGTAAATGTAAACTGCATAAATAGTGGTGACCCAACACGCTGCTCTATTTATGTCACAGCTATTTCGCGTTAACTCCTCGTTTTACGCAATTGACAATTATTTTTTGAATTTTTTATTGTTAATACAAGAACAAAAACAGGTTTTTGTTATTTTATTACAGATGTAGAAAAAACAAACCCTGGGCGTATGCTAGGATATGACCTCAATTCCTTTCATTTTATCAAAAGTTGGGGAGTGGGTGTTTGTCCAAGCTTGGGCTCTTAGCGGGATAAATACGATAATAAAATTACAGAAAAATGCTAGACAAATACATTGTACATGCAATATGGGACTGTCACAAATGAAACAAAATATTGTCAGATTCTTTGTTTCAAAGTGAATATGACCTGAACAAAACAGTGGGGAGATCATAAATTAGGTATTAGTATAATGTAATATTTAAGAGTTATGGTCAGGCGATCATATATGCCTCCCCTACCCTCATGATCTTCATCTTCTTCTTCTGCTTCTGACGCTGATGACTCAGTGTCCGTGGTTACAGATGAGCTTCCTGATGTCAAATCACCTTCGTCACCTTCCTCCATGTTTGGAAAATCAACTTCCTTGTTTTCCGGGATTTCATATCCAGTTAAATGAACCACCCCTA